TCAAATTCAACCTTCCAAAATGAATCACTTCACATTTTTCCGGGTTGAATTCCATCTGCCACTTCTTAGCCCAGCTCTGCATCCTGTCAATGTCCCGTTGCAACCTACAACAGCCCTCCACGCTGTCCACAACTCCACCAAACTTTGTGTCATCGGCAAACTTACTAACTCACCCTTCCACTTCCTCGTCCAAGTCATTTTTAAAGATCACAAAGAGCAGAGGTCCCAGAACAGATCCCTGTGGAACACCACTGGCCACCAAGCTCCAGCTGAATATTTTCCATCTACTACCACCCTCTGTCTTCTATTGGACAGCCAATTCTGTATCCAGACAGCCAAATTTCCCTGAATCCCATGCCTCCTTACTTTCTGAATGAGCCTACCATGGGGAACCTTATCAAATGCCTTGCTAAAATCCATATACACCACATCCACTGCTCTGCCTTCATCAATGTGTTTTGTCTCCTCCTCAAAGAATTCAATAAGGCTTGTGAGGCATGACCTGTGCCTCACAAAGCCATGCTGACTATTTCTAATCAAACTGTGCTTTTCCAAATAATCATAAATACTATCTCTCAGAATCCTCTCCAATAATTTTGCCACCACAGAAGTAAGACTGACTGGTCAGTAATTCCCAGGATTATCCCTATTCCCTTTCTTGAACAAGGGAATTTACATTTGACTCCTTCCAATCATCTGGTACTACTCCAGTGGACAGTGAGGATGCAAAGATCATTGCCAAAGGGGCAGCAATCTCTTCCCTTGCTTCCCCTAGAAACCTTGAGTATATCCCATCTGGCCCGGGGGACTTATCTATCCTCATGTTTTGCAAAATTTCAGCACATCCTCCTTCCTAGCATCAACCTGTTCGAGCATATCAGCCTGTTTCATGCTATCCTCACAAACGTCAAGGTCCCTCTCACTGGTGAATACTGAAGCAAAGTATTCATTAAGGACCTCACCTACCTCCTCCACTATCCCTGATTGGCCCTACCCTCACTCTGGCCATCCTCTTGTTCCTCACATAAGTATAGAATGCCTCAGGGTTTTCCTTAATCCTACCCGCCAAGGCATTTTCATACCCCATTCTAGCTCTCCTAAGTCCATTCTTCAGTTCCTTCCTGGCTACATTGTAGCCCTCTAGAGCCCTGTCCGATCCTTGCTCCCTTAACCCTAAGAAAGCTTCCTCTTGGCTAGATGTTCCACATGTCTTGTCGTCCAAGTTTCCTTCACCTTACCATCCCTTCCTTGCATCAGTGGGACAAACCTATCCAGTACTCATAGCAAGTGCTCCCTAAACAACCTCCACATTTCTGTCGTGCATTTTCCTGAGGACATCTGTTCCCAATTTATGCTCTGCAGTTCTTGCCTAATAGCATTGTAATTTTCCTCTCCCCCAATTAAGTACTTTCCCATACTGTCTGCTCCTTTCCCTCTCCATGACTACAGTAAAGGTCAAGGAGTTGTGATCACTATCATCGAAATGCTCTCCCACTGAGAGGTCTGACACCTGGCCTGGTTCGTTGCCTAGCACCAAATCCACTATGGCCTCCTCTCTAGTCGGCCTAGAACACAGGGGTTCATTTGCATAATTGTTTGAAATTTGCATCACAGGTAGACAGGGCAGTTAAGAAGGTGTTTAGCGCGCTTGTCTTCATTGTGGAGATGTTTGGGTATAGGTGTTGGGAAGTCATGGGTACCGAACTTGGCTATCAGCCTCTGCTCAGTGACTCTGCTTTGTTGTGTATCCTGAAGTCCGCCTTGGAGGATGTTTACCCAAAGATCCAAGGCCGAATGCCCTTGTGCACTGAAGTGTTCCCCCATTGGGAGGGAACAATCTGGCATTTGTTGTGTGGTGTCCATTTATCTGTTGTTATAGCATCTGCATGGTTTTGCCAATATACCATGCCCCAGGGCATCCTTGCCTGCAGCGTATGAAATAGACAACATTGCCTGAGTCACATGCATATTTGCCATGCTTGTGGCGGGTGGTGTTCCCATGTGTGATGGTAGTGTCCATGTCAATGATCTGGTATGTCTTGCAGGGGTTGCCATGGCAGGATTGTGCGGTGTTGTGGGCGATGTTGTCCTGAAGGCTGGGTAGTTTGCTGCGAACAATGGCCTGTTTAAGGTTTGGCAGTTGTTTGAAGGTGAGAAGTGGAGGCGTAGGGAAGATCCTGGCAAGATGCTAATCATCATCAATAATGTGTTGAAGGCTGTGAAGATCATGGCGTAGTTTCTCCATTCCTGGGAAGTACTGGACGACGAAGGGTACCCAATCAGTCGTATCCCTTGTCTGTCTTCTGAGGAGGTCATTCTGGTTTTTCACTGTGGCCTGTTGGAACTGGCAATCAATGAGTTGAGCATCGTATCCTGTTCCTATGAGGGATCCTTCAACACCTTCAGGTGTCAGTCTGTTCTTCCTCATCCAAACAAATCTTGTGTATGCATAGGATTTGTCTGTAGGGGATGGCTTTTTTAATATGTTTAGGGTAGAAGCTAGAGAAATGCAGCATTGTGAGGTTATTGGTAGGCTTGTGGTAGAGTGAGGTATTGAGGTGTCCGTCCCTGATGGAGATGCATGTGTCCAAGAATGAGACTGATTCTAAACAGTACTCCATGGTAAGTCTGATGATGGGATGAAACCTGTTGGTATTGCTATGTAGTCGTTTCAGTGATTCCTTGCCATGAGTCCAAAAGAAGAAAATGTCGTCAATGTATCTGGTATATCTGGTGGGGGAGTTCTGCTTGGTGTCCTGGTCAGTGTTAATCCCTCATTCAACATCACAATGACCAGATAATCTGTTTTAATCACCTTGATGTCTGTGGGAACTTACTATGTGCAAGTTATCTGCTGCAGACTAGTTTGTACAGTACAACAGTAACTGCACTTCAAAAATACTTCATTGGCTGTAAAAACTCTTTATGACAAGTTAAGGTTGTGAAATGTGCTTTAGGAATCTAAGTCTTTGTTTCTTTCTGTTCTGAAACCTCAGAAGTGGTCCAGAAGAGTATTTTTTTTAATAAATTTAATCAGGGGAGTGCCTAAAAAGAATTCTATTGTCAAGCAATCTACAAATCTAACAGGCAACAAAGAACCTTCAGTGATTTAAAACACAGTATTGTCTCTGAGCACTTCAGAATAGAAAAGGGGCAGTAATTTATAACACTGAAATGTCATCACCTGCCCAAAGTGAAACTTTGAGAATTCAACCTCTGTTTTTTCTTCAAGTCTTGTGGGCAAAACCAAATAAACTGTAAGACGGTCACTGCATTTGGGTCACAGGCCCTTTCACTTCATGTTCTGTTGATGTCCTGTGTACAAACTGAGAAACTTTGTAAATTGCTCAGAATGCACAGAATTGTTTGGAATTTCTGTCCACCTGGTGTTTTGTAAAAATTCTGTTGAAACCTAGGCCTTTAATGAAGATTTGGAAAAGTACAAAACATACTGCAATGTAAATATTGTTATGAAATTTGTATTTCTTTATTAAACTTGTAATATGCTGAGGTGACTGCTTAAGGAATGAAAATCTTTTTGAGAGAGTCTAGAACCAGAGGGCATAGTCTCACGATCAGGCATTGCAAATTGAAGACAGAGATTAGGAAGAATTTATTCACTGAGTGTTGTGAACCTGTGGAATTATTTACCACTGAGGGCTGTTGAGGCTGAATCATTAAGTATATTCAAGGCTGAGATAGACATATTTTTAATCTGTCAGGGAATCTAGTATTATGGGGAAAAGGCAAGACAGTGTTGTTGGGAATTGGCAAATCAACCATGACCTCATTGAATGCCAGAATAGACTCAGTGGGCTGGATTTGGCTTACTTCTGCTCCCATGCTTTATAGTCTACTTGAAGCTGGGTCTCTGAATTGGAAAGAGGGCCATTCTTCATGACTGAAGTTTATAACCTTTACCTGAAATGATTAATTAAAAGAATGGGTATCTTACAAATTCCTTTCAAATTGCAATATTTGCACACTGAATACAGAGCAGTAATTAACATTCTTGTTTTAGAACAGACATGACCTGGAGTTTGTGAATTGTTTGTCACAGGTTGCACCCATTTCCTCCACAGAAAAGCCAAGATGTTTGATTACTTTTCATTTCCTTTTTTAGGATTACCCAAAAAATCGGCATCCAGGCTGGAGTCGAGGATCAGTGGCCTATCATGCAGGTATGAAATTGAAGTGTGAGCATTTCTGCAAGTCCGGGCCAATGTTCTCCCAAATGCGCTCTTTGACTGTATAAAGACAGGACGGGATTTGGGCTTTGCACACTTGCATTACTAAACACTACAGCACATTTTGTGTTTGAACAGACTGACACTGTTTGTCCTAATCACCCAAGTCTTCCTTTTAAATTGGCATACAGCGTTTGCTGGAACACCTTTCCTTGCTTATTTCTAATACCAATGGATCTCCCCAGATGGAGCAGAGTCCAAAGCATGTAAAAGGGACAAACTTCAAGGAGGTAAATGAGACTTGTCGTAAAGACAAGCGTTTTCAGGCGTGATATAACAGATTGAGGAAGGTGTGAATAAGCAGATGGTAAGGGGAGACAAATCATAAAGGAAGTTGGGTCATAAAAGTGAATGCCAATCTATGCCAATTGAGCAGTGTGGGTGGGCCAACTGAGAGAATTTTGAAAACAATATACTCAAGTTAAATGAGAGGTAACCTGACAGAAGGGTTTCAGGATTTGGCCTTGTGAAGATTAATTTATTGTTGCTCAAGTGATGTTGGATTTCTGTGTTATTGGGGTGACCGTGGCTGCAAATACCAATGCACTACCATTTAACAGAAAAAAAGGGGAAGGGCCCAAGACTGAGGATGGCAAGGTTGGCAGATGGAAATAGGGTGGAGAATTTGCATGTTAGTCAGTAGGTGCCAATTGTCACAAGCCAATGGGGGAGCAGAATTTAATTTTAAAGTTTGAAATTATTGGTCAACTCAGCAAGAGTGGCAGTGCGGAGCCCAAGAAGAGGGCAGCTGCGCTGTTTCATGATTGTGGCAAGACTGCAATGTATGTGGAAATTATTTTCAAAGCAGAAAAATAAACAAAATTGTATTTACAAAATCATTAATTTTAAAGGTCAATACCCATTTACTTCTATAAAAACAAAATCAATTGATGAGAAACATGCTTATGGTTCAGCAGTACCACCTCTTGTTCAGTTGTTAGAATTACAGCATGACGGGTTTCTACAGAAAATAGGAATGTAGAAACAGGCATTTGAGTGAAATGTCCTAAGAGATTTGGTTCTGTGAACAGAATGTTTTGTTTTCTTTCATGGGATGTGGACATAGTCTTAATTTCCCTTGAGCTGAGTGGCCTCCTCAGCATTTCAGAGACAGCCACGTTGCTGTGGGTCTGGACTTAAATGTAAGTCAAACTCCATTAGGATGGCCAATTTCCATCCCTAAATTTAAGGCACGAATAAAGCAGATGGGTTTTCACAACCATCAACAGTGGTTGATAGTCACCATTCCTGAGCTTTCGAAATTTATGAATGAATTTCTATTGTAGGATTTGAACTCATGTTCCCAGAGAATTAATGTGAGTCCACTGGATTACTAGTAGTTACTACCTATAGTGTAATGTACCATGGCACCTCCACCTACTCCATTGATTTCTAGAGAGTGTACCATTTCCCTGCAGCATTTATGTCAGTCGTACCTGGCATCACAACTGTTCAGTTCACAGGATTTGGTACTGACACCATTACTCTCTGCCATGGTTCCCACAACCAGCAGAAGTAAAAAAGTTGGAAACAATGGAAAGTTCTACTGACATTCCATTATCTGGGGAGTTGATAGTTTTGCATCTAATGTATTTTTCCAAGTGTGCCACCTCAAAGGTATCCATTGAGCTAAAAAATATGCTAACTGTAGTCATGCTGCTTCTGTTAAACATAGTGAATTGAGCTGTTGCATTTTAGGGTCTTCTCCTGTTTTTTAATTATTTTATCTCCTGTTAGATCATGACGAGCTGCTGATTTCTCAGAATTTCAAGAGTGTCTATCTGCCTTTGACTTAGGATCCACATAAAGCTGTCAATCTTGTGCCAGGAAGTGAACAGCAACCGTTGTCTGATTGTTATTACTTCCTGTGGCTCCACATTATCCTTTGCATCTGATAGAGCATCAGATCAGATCTTGTTTTAAATTAGTCTCAACCCTCATCTTTCTGTAGCTTCTTTCCCGTGCTGCACACCCTACCCCCAAACAAAACTGCTACCTTTACACTCACCTTGCCCATGAGATCCACCCTCAACTGCAGTGTTGATCAAACTTCTCTTCTGGATCTCTGCCTTGTTAACAGGTCCCATTCCTCAAGTTCCGCCTACCCCCAATTCAGACCTCCAAACAGGTTTCTATTCTTCTCCTAACCCTCATCAAAACCATTATCACTTCCTTTCCTGGCCATTTTTGGCAGCCTTTGACACAGTTGACCTCTTCCATATTAATCTATCAGCAAACCCAGGGATTACAACAAAACTCCACTAAAATCCTCACCCAATATTAATGAGCTACTCAAAAAGCTGGAGGGGATAAAATAAAAGCACTAAAAATGCAGTTACAAAGAGTTAGCTTAGATCTTGTTTGTATCTTATGTTGTCCACTTGAGCTGTTTGATGAAAGTATGCCCAGTATTTTAGCTGACAAAGTGCTTCTCTACCATATGCAAATAAATTCACAGGCCATTTTAAATTTAAAACAAGGTCTGATCTGATGCTCTTATCAGACACAAAGGACAATGTGGAGCCACAGGAAGTAATAACAATCAGACAACGGTTGCTGTTCACTTCTGGGCACAAGATTGACAGTTTTATCTGGATCCTAAGTCAAAGGTAGATAGACACTCTTGAAATTCTGAGAAATCAGCAGCTAGTCATGATCTAACAGGAGATAAAATAATTAAAAAGCAGAAGACCCTAAAATGCAACAGCTCAATTCACTATGTTTAACAGAAGCAGCATGACTACAGTTAGCATATTTTTTAGCTCAATGGATTTGTTTGTCATGGTAAGGCATTTAATACTTCAGTGCAGTAGTGGTGATAGGGGAGGCTGCACCATTTAATTAATTAATTTGAAAGACCCCACACACTCTTGAAGAAGAACAGGGGAATTCTCTTTGTACTGACAAGCATTGTTCTGTCAACCAATATCACCAATACAGATTATATCTGATTAGTTATCTCCTAAATGTAGGACCTTACAGCAGTGATGATACTTCAGAAGTTCTTGATTGTAAGGCATCCTGAGGTTCTGAAAAATTCTATATTACTAACAGTCTGTTCTTTCTTCCTTGTATTGAGAGAGAAGGATCAGGAATGGAAAGGCAGAGAAGTAAGTTACCCATGAGGTTAATTCTCTCACGCTGTTTAAATACGTGAACACTAAGAATTCCTGTGAGGGAAATATTGAAAAAAAAATTCTGCAGAATTCGTCAGTCACAGTGTATTTATCCTTCTAAAGAAAAAATAGACTCCCAAGTTTAGTTGACCAGGAGTAGTGAGGTGAACATTTGGGTCTAATATCTGAAACTGGCAAAAAGTATTCAGTGAAGTGAATCCTAGGTGACAGTTGCAAAACCATCCAGATAGATTGCAGCATAATCCAATGTGCATCTGTCATAATTACAAGATGAAACATGTAGAGCTCCTTGAGATTATTGTAGTGTTTTATATGTTAATAAGATTGCCTCATCTCTGCTGTGTGCCAGGAACCTGCAGCTCTTTGCTGCACAGTATGTTGAACTATTTTGCAACAGTTGTTGCAAAATTGTTTTTGTGACAAGGCTTTCGTGCTGGATGGAACGGAAGTGAGAAATCTGTTCCCACCCATGCTGCATCTAAGTGGGTCTATAATTGTTTTCTGCTCGTTTCCATAGTGCCCAGGGAAATATTTACATGCACGCAGCAGCTGGATGTGGGCAGATGGACATATGTGTACAGATGAAGTCCTGGCTAGATATTTTATTCAGGAATCCTGTAGAATAATTCCAATGCGGGATTATAGTAACATGGAAAGTAGAAGCCAGAGTAGGCCATTCAGCCCTTTGAGCTTGCTCACCATTCAATATGATCATGGCTGATAATCCAGCTCAGTCCCCTGTTCCCACTTTCTCCCTATACCATCTGATCTGTTTGGCCCTGAGAAATGTAAGTGTTTCCTTCTTATAAACATTCAATGTTTTGGCCTCACCTGCTTTCTATGGCAGAGATTTCCACAGGCTCACCACTCTCGAAGTGAAGACATTGCTCCTCATGTCTGTACAAACATCCAACAAGGTAGGAGTAGGCCATTTGGCCCCATGAAATTGCTCCACCACCCACCAGTATCATGGCTGGTCTGATTATAATTTCAAATCCACTAGAAGAGAGCTAATTTGCAAGGTCAAGGTGATAAATCTGGGGTTTGGGACTGAATTGGGCAATTTATTTTTGGAAGGCTCAGTATAGACACAGTGGGCTGGGTATTATTCTGTGCTGCTAAATTAGATGTTTTGAGACTCAGACTTACTTGCAAGTTAATGGATGCACAGACACAGCAAGACAGCACAATGTACTGAACCAAGAATGGATTTAAAAGAACCTTTATTTAGAAAAACATTGCAAAGATGGTTTACAGGAAGTAATCGATCACAACTACACCATAGTAAACACAGTATTATGACAGGTGATCTGCAGCTTGGTGTACGAAATGGGTTATCATAGAATAGAATCCCTACAGTGCAGGAAGCGGCCTTTTGGTCCATTGAGTCTGCACTGACTCTCCAAAGAGCTTCCGCAAGAAATTGCCAAGAGTTGTGAACGCAGCCCAGACCATCACTAAACCAGCCTTCCTTCCTTTGACTCTGTCTGTACTTCCTGCTGCCTTGGGAAAGCAGCCAACATAATCAAAGGCCCTTTCCACCCGAGTTATACTCTCTTCCGCTCTCTTCCACCGGGCAGAAGATACAAAAGTTTGGAAACACGTACCAAGAGATTTAAGAACAGTTTCTTCCTTGCTGTAATCAGACTTACAAACAGACCTCTTGTATATTAGAGTTGATCTTTCCCTGCACCTTCTCTGTAGCTGAAACACTATATTCTGCATTCTGTTCCATTGCCCTGATGTACTTATGTAAGCTATCATTTGTCTGGTCAGCATGCAAAACAATACTTTTTA